GACCTCTGGGGAGACGCGATTTCGGGGGTCTGGAGGGGGGGGGGCTGGACCATCGAAGCGATTCCCATCCCCACTGGGCCATGCATGGCATCTCGGCCCCACCATCCCAGCCCCCCGAAGTGGGGAGGGGCCCCGCGAGACTCGGAGGAAGCATCATGTATCCCCACCTGGGGAGGCAAATCGGTGCGTGTTTTGGTTTGCTCGATGGTCCAGGATGGTCCTCGATGGTTCTCGCCGAGAAAAAATGCACACGTCCGAGCGATGCCAAAGGATGTGCCGACGTCCTGACAAGAGCGGGGAGGGGGGGGGCACGGCGCGGCGTGGGGGCGTGAGGCGGCCTGGTACCGCGACGGCTCTCGGGAGGCAGATCCTGGAAGCAGTCGCCAGAATTTGGCGGCGCGCACAAGGGAGTAGGGGGAGGGGGGAAGGCTTCTTAGAAGGAGGCTGCTTCTTAGAAGGCACCGGCCTTACATCTACAAAGAAGGCCCGCGCCTTCTAAGAAGCAGGGGTGCTTCTAAGAAGCCTTCTCCCCTCCCCATACCCCCCTGTGCGCGCCGCCCAAGAATGATGCAAGGCTTGTGCAGGCCCGATGTAGAGGCTACACTGGTGTGAGCGCGACGACAAGGGCACTGGAATCCGCTGTTGTACAATTCGCGGTCACGCCCGTGGCCAGCCCCTGGCTCCCTCCCCTCCCCCGCCCCCCCCCCCTGTGACGTCACGATTCGCGCCAGCGCCGTCTCGGAAGGAGTCCTGAGCCATTCTTCCTAAGGTGCCCTTCGCACTTAGCATGGTGGAAGATGACACGGCAAGCTGCGCAATCGAACAGCGAATTGCGCGAAGTAGAAATCTGCCAACCCCCAGGAGGCAAACATCGTCACACTCCCTTTGGAAAACGTGTGTTTTAGCACACTCACCTTTTTCATCTTGAAAGCGTCCAAGACGACCCAATGAGCATCCAAGATCGTCCCAAGACGGCCAAAAGGCCCAAAAGTGGGCCCCAAGACGAAGGGCCCCCGGGATGGGGTCGAGAAGCTCCACGGACAGCCCATCGTCGGCGGAAGGAAAATGCCTTCTCAGAAGGCTCGAAAGTCCCCCGGCCTTCTCAGAAGCTTTCTGAGCCCTCCCCGAAGACACCGAAGACTCCGCAGAGGGCTGGAGGGCGTCTGAGCAGCCCTGCCGCCTGCTGAGAAGGCCCTCCCCTGCTCCCTTCCCCCCTCGCTCGCCGCCGAGAATCATCACGGGGGGCAGGTCCCCTTGCCCTGCCTCCCTTCGCGCAGGACGCCCCCCCTCCTCGGAAGCCCCGTCCCCCCGCCCCCCGGCGCCGGCACGGCGGGGGGCTGGCGCGACCACTTGCCAAGGGAGGCTCCCCGAGAGTCTGCAGGAGCGGGTCCCGGGTGCTCTTTGACTCGAGGTCGGCTGCGAGCTCTGCTCCGGCATCCCCGCGCCAGCTTCCAGGGTCTGAGCCGGCTTCTCCCTCTTCCCCTCTCGCGCTGTGCTCGTTGTCGCCTTCGTGCCACAATTCGTGCCTTCGTTGTTATGCTTCTGCCTTCTTCTCCCTCGTCCCCTCCCGGTGCACCCCACCGCTTGCTGACTGACCGGCGTCTGACTGTCTTGGACCACCTGGCGCCCGCGGACTCAAAAAAAATGTGCATGGAGATGCGCCCCTCGAAGAAAAACACGCAATGCCGTCGAAGGCCTGAGGGCCTTCGTCTGCCCCTCCCGCTCCCAAGAAGTCAGGACGAGGACACATCGAATCTCTGGGATCAAGCGGCTCTGGAGGATGTCTCGGGCGCCGCGGCCTTCTCAGAGCATTCCAGAACGCTCTGAGGGCGTTCCAGAACGCTCTGGAGCGGATTGATCCCCGTCCTAGCAGCGCATCATTGCGCCAGGATCTCTCGAAAACAATGCGCCAGCGGGTACGCCCACAACACTTGCATATGCATACCGCACACGTGTGGCTCGAGACCTCGACGTCCGCCGTGCATCTTGCTCACGACGGCGGCTTCAGCGTGCAAAGGTGGCACCACAAGTCAGGGGGCAGCGCTGACTCCCCGCAAGCACCTCCACTCCCTCCTCACCCTCCCCATCTATTCCTCGCTCTTTTCCTTCTCATCCCTCATCATCCTCCCCCTCCTCGCACGTAGCCGCGGCGCGCTTCAAGTCTCCTTACCGACGAGGCTGAAGCCGCGCCGCGTCGGCGCGATCACCAGCGACGTGCTCACCGAAATTGGATACCGTCACCAGCTCGGAGTTGATTGTGCTGTACGGAGTGTGAGTGGCAGCTGGGAGAGCACAGAGTGCCTCATCCCCCGTCTCCTCCTCCTCCCCCTCCTCCCCCTCCTCCAACTCCTCCTCCTCCTCCTCCTCCTCCTCCTCCTCCTCCCCTCCTCCTCCTCCTCCTCCTCCTCCTCCTCCTCCTCCTCCTCCTCCTCCTCCTCCTCTCCTGCCACTCCCAAGACAAGACAAGGGCGCACCTGCACAATCTCCCAGGTGGTCGCATCCTCTTCCTCGTCGCCCACGTCGTATCGCTCGGCAGCCTGCGTCGCCCTTCCCTCTCTGCCACGGGCAGGTGGGGGGAGGCTAACATCCACCACATCCTCACTTCCTCCTCCGCCTCCCTACCCCTTCGCTTCCGCGAATGTATTCTTCCCCCGGCTCATCCACCTTCCCCCCCTCCTCTTCTCTCCCGCCTCCGCGATGGCACTTCTCCCCCAACTCTTCCTCCTCCTCCTCCTCATCCTCCTCGTCGTCGTCGTCCGCCTCCTCCTCTTCATCATCATCATCATCATCATCAGCATCATCATCATCATCATCATCATCATCATCATCATCATCATGATCATCACCACCACCATCATCATCATCATCAGCATCATCTTCATCATCATCATCGTCGTAGTCATCGTCATCGTCATCGCCATCATCATCATCATCATCATCATCATCATCATCATCATCATCATCATCATCATCATCATCATCATCATCAGCCCTTTGATTTTATCCTCAACCATCATCCTGAGGTATGGGGTCCGCGTTTTTAGTAGACAGCGCCCCGCTAAACTCCTTCCTCCTTCATCCTTCCTTCTCCCGCTCCTCCCTGCTCCTACTCCTGCCTCTGCCCACCGCAGGTCCACGTCGGCACACCCCTCACACGCTTCGTGGCCAAATAGGATGCTCCACCGAAAGCCCCAGTGGTACGGTCCACATGCGGCTCCACGCCTACCACATGTCCATTGTCGGCAAAGAGGGCCCCAAGAGGCCCCGAAGACGGCCCAAGAGGGACCTTAGTCGCCCCAGAGGTCTCCAAGACGGGCCTAGAGGGACCCAAGACGCTCAAGATGGCCCCCAGAAGGCCCAAGAGGTTTCCAAGACGCCCCAAGAGGCCTCCCAAAAGGGCCCCCAAAGGCCCAAATCCTTGATGTCCCACTGGTTTGTGATAGTGTTCGGCTTCCTCGCTGTTTCTGCTTCCCGACGCTCCCAGGCCGCCCTTACAGGCCCCCAAGATCGCCCAACGACGGCCAAGAGGCCTCCAAGAGCGTCCCAGAACGGCCCAAGAGGGCCCCAAGACGGCCCAAGAGGCGCCCAAGACGGCCAGAGAGGCCCCAAAGACGGCTCTGAGAGGGGGTTCAGATGGGGGGACCCGAACGCAAATTTCGAGTCCTCGGCCCCGAGGGGCCCCCAGGAGGGCCCAAGAGGCCCCCAAGAGGCCCCCAAGCGGCCCCAAGAGGCCCCCAAGAGGCCCCAAGAGGCCCCCAAGAGGCTCCCGAAAGACCCTAAAACTGCTCCCAAGAGGCCCCCGAGAACGTTGCAAAGAGACCCCAAGAAACATCCATGAGAACTCTGACCCACAACCCAGGTACGGTGGCGGGATGGACCGAAGGCCCTCAAATATCAGCCGCCCCCTGTTGATTCATCACAGGGGTGCCTGGCGTGGTGAACCTTTTCGCTTTTGGTTGTGGTGCCTCTTCCAAAAGAGCTCCCCCTGGGGCTTCGGCCCGTCCCGCCGGCCACCCGAAGGGCGCAGTGTTCTCCCCCAAACTCCCTCAAGACGGCTCAAGGTGGCTTTCAAAACCGCCCTGATGGCCCAAGATGGCCTCCAAGATGCCTCCAAGATGGCCCAAGATGGCCTGCAAGTCGCCAAATATGATCCAAGATGGCTTCCAAGACGGCACGAGAGTCCAAGATGCCTTCAAGTTCGTCCAAGAAGCCTCCAAGACGGCTCAAGATGGCTTCAAGATGTCCTGAGACTGGCCAAGAGGCAACCAAGAGGCCTTCAAGATGGCCTCAAAGATGACCTCCAAGATGGCCTCCAAGTCGCCAAAGAAGGTCCAAGATGGCTTCCAAGACGACCGAGAGATGCCAAGATGCCTTCAAGTTCGTCCAAGAAGCCTCCAAGATGGCCCAAGATGGCTCCACGATGGCCTAAGACTGGCCAAGAGGCAACCATTCCTCCAAGACGTTCGGCAAACATCGATGATTTTCCTTAAGTGCTTGAAGGATTTGGCATGTTCTTCTTATCAACTCTCCGACGGCCCAAGACGGCCCCCAACATCGTCCCAAGAGGCCTCCAAGATGGCCCCATGACAAGCCAAGAGGCCCCCAAGAGGGCCCCAACAAGACCCCAAGACGGCCCAAGAGGCCCCCAAGACGCCCAAGATGGCCTCGAAGACGGCCAAGACGGCCTCACAGATGCCTCCAAGACGGCCAAAGAGGGCATCCAAGACGGCGAAGATGGCCCCAAAATGCACCCAAGACGGCCAGATGGCCTCAAGATGGCCTTAGTCTGCCCAAAGGCCCGCCAGAGGCCTCCAAGACGGCCCAAGACCCCTCCAAGGCGTCCTCGAGGAGGCCCGCAAGCTCGGAAACCACCTGGTCCGACAGCTGACCAGACTCCGTGTTCACCGAAGGCTGTCGAAACCCACTCGGGGAACGCGTGGCCCGATAGCTTGGCCAAGCTCAAACCCAACTTTCGGCCACGCAGCGGGGGTGATTCGCCGTAGGCGTCTTCGATCCACCGCCCCCTGTTGATCCTTTCGCTTTTGGTTCTGTTGTTCCCCAAAAAGAGCTCTCCCTGGGGCTTCAGCCCGTCCCGCCGGCCACCCGAGAAGGGATCTCAACGACCGCAACAAATCCTCCAAGACGGCTCCAGATGGCCTGCAAGATGGCCACGTTGACCTCCAAGATGGCCCAAGATGGCCTCCAGGTCGCCAAAGACGGTCCAAGATGGCTTCCAAGACGGCACGAGAGAGTCCAGGATGCGAGCAAGTTCGTCCAAGAAGCCTCCAAGACGGCCCAAGATGGCTCCCAAATGGCCTAAGACTGGCCAAGAGTCCTCAAGAGGCCTCCAAGACGTCCTCCAGGAAGGCCCGAATAGGCAAGCATCATTGATTTGCCTTAGGTTGTTGAAGGATGTTGGCATTTTCAAGAGGCCCCCAACATCGTCCCAAGAGCGCCCCAGAGGCCGCCAAGATTAAGATGGCCCCATGACAGGCCAAGAGGCCCCCAAGAGGGCCCCAACAAGACCCCAAGACGGCCCAAGAGGCCCCCGAAGACGCCGAAGATGGCCTCAAGAGGCCTCCAAGAGGTCCTCCACGAGAGCCCGAAGAGGTCAAAATCAATGTTTTGCATAAGTGTTTGAAGGATTGTGGCTGTTGTTCTTTTCGAGCCTTCCGACGGCTCACGATTGCCCAAGGAGCTCGAAAGATCGCCCCCGGAGCGCCCAAGAGGCCTCCAAGAAGGCCCTATGACAGGCCAAGAGGACCCCAAGACGCCCCTAGTGGGCGCCAAGACGGCTCCAGAGGCCTCCAAGACGTCCAAGACGGTCTCCAAGACGGCCAAGATGGCCCCTAAGACGGCCAAGATGGCCCAAGATGGGCCTGAGAGGTCAAAGATTGCCCCAGAGGAGTCCAAGAAGTGCTCCAGGAAGACCCGAGGGAGCCAACACCTGCAATCTTCCATAGGGTTTTGAAGGATGTTTGTTTTTCCTCGGTGTTGGTGTTCCGACCGCCTAAGACGGCCCAAGGAGTCCCCAAACTAGTCCCAGAGGCCTCCCAGATGGCTCCAGAACGGCCCAAGAGGCCTTCAAGCCAGCCCCAAAAGGTCCCGAAGACGGCCCAAGATGTCTCACGAACGACCAAGATGGTCCCAAAGATACCTCAAGACTGCCAAGATGACCCCAAACACGACCAAGATGACATCCAAGACGGCAGAACTATGTCCAAGAGAGCTGAAGGTGGCCAAAGAGGCGCCCAAGATGCCTCCAAGGCAGCCCAAGACGCCTCCAAGACGTCCTCCAGGAAGGCCCGAAGAAGCCCTAATCAATTACTTCCCTTCGGTGTTTGAAAGATGCTCGCTTTTGCTTCTTTTCGGCCTTCCGACGATCCAAGACGGCCCAAGAGGACCCCACGATCGCCCCAAGAGCGCCCAAGAGGCCTCCAAGATGGCCCCACGACAGGCCAAGAGGCCCCCAACAGGGCCCTAACAAGACCCCAAGACGGCCCAAAAGGCCCCCAAGACGCCCAAGATGGCCTCCAAGACTGCCAAGATGGTCTTCAAGCTGCCTCCAAGACGGCCAAAGAGGGCATCCAAGACGGCGAAGATGGCCCCACGATGCACCCAAGACGGCCACAGATGGCCTGAAGATGGCCTTAGACTGCCCGCAAGGCCCGCCAGATGCCTCCAAGACGGCCCAAGAGCCCTCCAAGACGTCCTCCAGGAGGCCCGCAAGCTCGGAAACCACCTGGTCCGATAGCTCGACCGACTCCGTGCTCACCGAAGGCTTTCGAAACCCACTCGGGAAACGCGTGGCCCGATAACTTGGCCAAACTCAAACCCAACTCTCGGCCACGCAGGCGCTTCCAAAAAGGCAGGGGGTGGCGGTGATTCGCCGTAGGCGTCTTCGATTACGAAAGCGAGCAGCTGTAATGATACTGCTGATCATAATGATCAGAAGCACGACAAGCGGAGCTGGCTAGCGAGTGCAACGCTCTGGGGGCGCTCCGATGATCCGATGGGGAGGGAGCGGCACTCAGCGAGACGCGCACCAGGGCAGGCGCGGCACCCGCACTCTTGCTGAACGAGCACTGCAAGCACTGTGTCGTGACGACTTCGGCGTCGGCCTCTGACACCGCGTGGACCAGTCGGCCTCACACGATAGCGCAGATCGTTCCATGTCAGCCGATTCCTGGCCATTGGCGGTGCTCAACCTTGAACCCGCGCTGGGGCCACCTCACCTCCGGTCAACTCCGCAGCGCGCCCAGCACCGCCAGCACCGCCGCGCGCCGGCACCGAGGCCTGGCGAGCCGCCCGCGCCGCTTGAGGGCAAGCTGCACTCACCCCTGGGCCTAGCGCCACACGAAAAAAAGAAAACTCCCCAGGCCACCAGTTGGAGGCCGCCCGCCATGGGGTGCGGGCAGACGGGGTCGGAGGATCGCGCCACAACGCCGACGCATCGGCGACGTCGGCGTGGCGAAAATCGGGCTCCACGTCGACCCGCGT